GTATTTTTACGTATTATATTTATATAAATAATATAAAATAATTTTTATTAATATTACGTATATTAAACTTCCTGATGTAAGCAGGTGGATAACAGGATATCTTGTATCACTAAGTATAATATATTTCAGCCTAAAAATCATATTTGGCATATAAATGTAAAATATATTTTTCCGGTAATTTCCCCCCTTTCTATTGCAAAAGCCCCATATAGTCATTCGTTACACTTCAGACTAATAATTAATATTTTTAAAATTTTTTTTTTAAATTAATTTATAAATATATAATATATTATAACAAATATTATTTTTAATTATATAATAAAATATTTAATGTTTTTTAGAAGCTAAAATTTGTAATTTCTAAAAAAAAATTATATTTAATTAATCTATGATAATTTTTTTAGAATTTATTTTTAATTAAATTAATCATAATAGAATATTATAAAATTACTTATAAAGTATAACTTTAATTATTATAATTTTTATAATTTATTAAGAAATTTTATGATTTTAATTAATGATAAAGTGATTCAATTAAAACATTACATATAAATTTTTAAAAATTTTTTAAAAAGACATTATAATAAATTTTTTGAAACTTAATTTTAAAATTAATTTATTTTAAAAACCATTTATCTTTGTTAATAAAGTTAATAAAAATATATTAAACTATATTTTTAGTATAGTAATAATATTACTAAAATTAATATTTAATATTTTATAAAAGAAATAACATTTTTTACCTAAATAATATTTTCTTCATTTTTAAAGAATAAGACCCTTTCAGTTAGTTAATTAATTTAGTAAATATTTGTTATTATTATTATTGATCTATTTAATTTTGTAAGACTTGAACTAACGTCTGAATAATATCAATATATGTTTTATGTTTTAAGTATTGTGTCAAAATTTTCCTATATATTTTTTAATGTAATAAATAGTTTAGATATCAAATACTTCTGTATTAACCACTATTTATTATATTTATATTAAAGTAATATACTTATATAATGCTGATTCTTTTGCATTTTTACTAATTAAGCCTAAATATATTTAAGCTTTTCAATTATAATTAAAGTATAACGATAATCATTTTGATTAAAAATAAATGCATTACCTATAGTTACTTATAGCATTAGCAACATCTGCTACATATACTGCTGCTGCAGAACCAGATACATAAGTACTAATATTCAGTCTTCCAATTACTTCTAATACAATTAATTCTCAAAAAGTATTCATAAAAGTAATACTACTTTATAAATATTTGCTATCTCTTAATTCTTTTCAGTAATTTCTCTATTAAATCATTCAACTGCTAGACCTTTTATACAATCTCTAAGAATTTTTATAGCTCTATTAGCATAAGTTATTAGACTACCTTTAGGATTTGTTAGATCAATACTATACCATTAAGAGATTTTCAGTAAATATTTATCAATACTCCAATATCATATTAAAATTATCTTCAAAAATTAGTAATCCTATTAATACAACAGCTATATTTAATTTACTTATTGTATTAAAGGATTAATATGTTTAATTTGACAATATGTTGCTTGAATTTTAAGAATAGAAATTTTCTTATTTAAAGGTTTAAAACATTGATCAATAAATTATTTTTAGCATTCTATAATTCATCTAATCTCTCTTGATACTCCAAATTCAGATTGTATATACTACACATATTTATGATTTTCTGATCATTTAATTTATTTTTTAGATCATGATTACCTCTATTAACTATACTCTAAGTTTCTTGCAGTATTTATATCATTTTCCAAATTCTCAATTTGTTTTACAAAGCTTTTGTTAGTAGATACATCATTTTCATCATTATAATGTATCCTTTCTAGAATCAAATCTAATTTTATAATTCTAACTAATGTTCTATTTCACTTTTAGTAAGTTAATTTATAGCATTTCTAACTCTCTAACTTCTATAAAAGATTGAAATAGCATTTCATATTCTCTTTAATATATAACCAATTTATCACTATATTCATTTAAATATCATTGTAAATCTGATAAAAGTAAATTAGCATCCTCCTTATTCCAATTTTATTTTAATTTAGCAATAATACCCTCTCAACCATCTTCATCAGCAAAAATCTTACAAATTGTTAGAACACTTAAGGATTCGATACACAAAAATGAATCTTTTCCTTTTTGCACTAGAATTGCTCCCAAGGTGAATGTAGAAGCATCCATATTATACATGAAGTCGAAATGTAAACCCAAAAGTCGAAATGTTTCGACTTTTGAGGTCAAAGTCGAAATGAAAAGTCGAAATGGTCGAAATGACGTCATATCACATGATTTTTTATATTGAGAAAAAACAATAAACAAAAAATGTACGATCTCGGTCAATATCACTCCGATTCGTATGAAACAACTACCATTCGATTCCTTGCGACTTGACGGATCCAATGAGCTAACATGCATTGATTTCAGATCATCCAATCGCGAGATAATCGCAAATGTATTATCAGCTGAAATTATAAATCAATAAATTCTACTTTAAATAAAGGAGTTCAGATTTCGAAATACGATCACAAATATCTCGAGATGGGCTGATCCAAAATCAAAAAAAAACTCTCTCCCACAAACGTCCAGTCCATTAAAACAGATCAACAAAAACAAAAATTATGCCAGTCACTAGAGCAACCTATTCTAAATAACAAACGTAAAATAATTATCAACGAAACAAAAGGAATATCTCAGTTAACAATCCTGAAGCTTTAAGTTCCTCTTCAAATACAACAGAACCAAACGAAAATAATACTTTAACAAAAAAACAAAAAATTTTAACACCTCCCAACGAAGATACTATCGACCCAGATATTGAAAATATTATTCTCAACATTATATCTAAAAGTAATAACGAAACTTTTTCTGAAAAAATACAATAATACAGACAACAATGTCTCCTCTCCTAAAGTGTCCTCAGAAATAGATGTTGATACCACTTCTAATTTTACTCCTCCTCCACCTATTATTTCAAAGCAAACAACAAATGACTCTATACACGCCAATAACAATAAGGATAACATATTTGATGACACAGGCTTTGACTATATTCTCCCTATTGATACCAAAGGCAAACAAAAACAAACTTGGTCTGAAGAAATTGAGCAAAATGAAGAAACACGTGACCAAGAAACTCAGGAGATTCGTTCAACATTATTACCGCTCCTACGTAATTTTTCACGACAGACAACGCGTTAGACATAAAGGCAAAACTATAGCCGAAAAATGCACGTTCATAAATTCTTTATTCGTCCATTTCAATGGTTACCAAGGATCCAC